AAAAAAAAAAAAAAAAAAGGAAAAGGAAAGCAAACAGAAGAAGAAAGCTTGAGTATAGAGTGAAATCATAAACCCAAACTCAAGTGTTTTTAGCCCAGTAAACCCATATCTAACTTTTATGTCGAAATAATAACAACTCGACTGGTTTTCGGCGAATGTAAATACTTTGGTTGGTTCGACTTTTTCGCCATCTGTTGGGTTCTATTTTGTTGGTTTTTTGGTGAAACTTGCCACCCCAACACTTATTAATATTGTCTTGACAATGTAACACAACACTTCCATCACATACACTACTAAATTACAGACAATGCACATTGTACACATTTGCCTCATTTCTCTTCAACAGAAGTATGGTCTTCACACGACTCGTTTAGTAGTTTATGCTCTGTGGTCCCACTGCATCTTCTTGAACTGGATTTTTTTTTTTAAAGATTAAAAAATTGTTGAGTTTCATCAAACCACTTGCAGATGCATTGGCACCATCTTAAAAAAATCATCTTAATGGACGGAGATGATAATAATCAGTGCCCAAAAACTAACTCCTTGAAAGAAGCAAACGGTGAACCGAGCCCATGGGCTTGTGAATCTCTCCAAAACGTCAACCCTGAGTCAAGATGGATTATGCCAAATTATATGTAATTTTTACACAGTTGGGCCCAAAATAAGTAATACGAAGATTATTAATGGAGTAAATAAAAACTTGTCAAAAAAGAAGAAATAAAAACCCAAGGTTCAATCTAGCTGCTAATATTCCACCATTTCCACTCGAAATTTGGTTGTATTTCTAAATGTTGCTGCAAAAACGAAATATAAACACCAACAGCTGTATGTAATATACTAACAGGGTATCTTCTCTTTTATTTTTCCTCATCCAAGCAAGAATATGGATCAAGTACGCCTATTGTTAATTCCCATATTCAGTTGTGTAATCTTTTATAGTTTTACTAGCCCATATAGGTATACAGAAACAGAATATTACTTAAAATAATCAATGGGAACTATTGAACGCACCTATCCAGGCAGCAAAACCGAGGGTCGTAACCAAGAAAAACTCCCTGCTGATACTATTGAGGCTGAAAGTCACAATAAAGCCTAAGTTAACATGAGTAACTTGTAAAACATCTGCCACAGTAATTATATTTAAATAAAAAATATATATATATTATGACGAAATTACCAGTACAAGCATATCAGGTTTCCCCATCCGTAAATGACAGACCCCCAGCTTGTACCCATAAACCTGCATGTAAAATTGTAGATTAAAGTTAACTTTTCCTTTCAAATTCAATCATTTAGGTCGAAGACTATCATGGATATTTGCACTAAACAGACATAAGCTAATTTATGACGTCTAAAATGCAATAAATATTAGTATTTTGGTGTTCCATTTAAGAATCTTTAGTTCGAAAAAGGGGAAAAGGGGAGGAAAATTGGATTTTTCTTATGTTCATTTGAAGGAATATTACTTTGATAAATGGCAGAGAAAAGCAATACGTACCACATAAGATCACGAATAAATAGAGCACGTGGAATCAGAAGCCCGTTGCCTAACATAGCCAGCAACATTGAGATAGCTGATAAACCTTTAATGTTTTCAGGATTCAGAAGATTGGTCCACTGAAAACAAAGAATACTCTCCATTAGGAGAAACTCTCGACAACCATCAAGACTAAGACATTCTGCAAATAGGAAAAAGAAAGGAAAACAACAAAAAAGAAAAAAACTAAAGAAGTCGAAAAAGAAAAAAAAACCAATTGTGCAACAGCCATCCACATGAAAAGAAGAGTAGCCGTCCATCCAGATGCTGATTCAAGAAACTTGGTGCCTTTATCAGGTAGCTTTCCCATGCGAGCCTTGGTGGGGGGAAGATAAAGGAAAACAAATAAATGCAAGGTCACAGTTTTAGACCATCACAAAAGCCAGAACAATTAATCTAATTAAATTAAATGCCCATCTTTAGTGAAGCAGAAAGTCTTTCCAACTATTTCCACGAATAAAATGTAACTAATATCATGCAAGATATATAGATTCAAAAGAATAAATATGCATACGTATAATATGTACCTAATTGATGATCATGCAATATTTATTTATGTCTGCCTCATCATACACAGTGATTTTCGATCTGGTTACTCAATTCAACATCTGGCAATAGCATACTCACCATTAGAACAGCAATAACTGAACAAATGAAGATGATTATCCCAGGCAAGGCAGTATTTGGGAGATAAGGGATGAAAGTCGACCACATGACCTGCACAAATAATGATTCGCAGAAAAAAAAAAAGGTCAATATCACTAAGCTTAAATATGCAACCGGGCCAGCTTACTACTTACAATTACATATACAATATTTCACCTGTGGAAGTGTGGATAGCCCTGCCACAGTAACAAAGTCTTCCCAAAAGCGCCACATCCCCAAGTTAAGAAAATCAAAATATTTCATAAAATTCAAAACGAGACCGGTTGCCACCACTATTGTTACGACAATAAATTGAGGTAGGGGCATAGCTTCCCCCATGGCCAGCTGCAACATCACTATATATGTGGATATGACTCCCAAAGTTTGCACGATCACAGCCTCGGTTTCCTTCTTTTGTATGAAGTATGAGACTAGAGAAAGATTACCGAGCAATCCGGTAAGCATACCCTATACATAAAAGGGATAAATGGTGACACTTTAGAATCCATTTCAACCAACAACATCTAAGAAAGTGATAGTAAACTTCAGGGTCACAAAAATGCGGGAAAAAAGAAAATTTTAGAATGCCAAACTTTCGCTTCCGATTCTTACGGTTTAGTAAAAATCAAAAGAAGTTGGGAGAAGGCCATTTAAGATTTATGATTGTGTTTCTGGTTTGATTTTTCCAATTATCCACTAAACACACATTTTTCAATCATATACAAAATTTCCAGTTCTCCCATGGCAAAAAAAAAAAAAAAAAAGGCTATTGAAAAAACACTCCTTAAATACTACATAAAGAAAACAATATACGGGCCTGGAAATCTATTACCAGCCAAGGGACAGCAAAAAGTGCAGATCTGTTCCCTGAGATAAGATTCTGCGTATTGAGTATAATCTGAGGAAGTTGTAATAACAGAAATGGTAGATTTGCTGCCCCAGCAAACTTTGCTGTCATTGAATCCCATTGCTCGAAGGTCTTTTCACTTTTCAGTTTCTCTGGTTCCTTCATCATAATTTATTCATTAGCCAATAATAGCTGTTGCAACACGGATATAATCTTAAACTCTGAAAGAGCAAATATAAGATACATACGAAGTTCAAGTTCCATTTCAATGTCGCATTTAAATTTCAAACTGTAAATTGCATCTCTGAGACGAATAAAAAAAAAAATTACCTCACTGGTCAGATGAGCATCCTCTGAGCTAGAAGATAAAACTGGTTTGAACCTATGCGCTAACTGACCAGAAAATGGCGCATTCTTCAAGTGAACTTCATCTATGGATCTTTGCCTCAATTGTGTCCGGTGACATGAAGCCGGCACTAAACTTTTTGCCGCACAAGGAATAGAACATCCATGTAACGGTCGACGAGCGTGCCAGGCTTGACCAGATAGCAACAACGAACTTGCCATTGATTAACTAACAAGAGCTATGCAGTCAAACAATCCTCCGAAATATTGATCAAGATATTAGGTCCCAAGAATTCTGTCAAATGGTAATTTCAACCGGGCATAATCAAGCCCCATGAATTTCGAAACTAAGCATACAACAACCATGAAAACAATAATTTGACCAATCGAATTACAAAACTTGGCCCTCACAAGCGCCCTTAGTTTGATGTTAATTCACTTATGTATACTGAAATCATCATCACATTCATTCCCATTATACCAAGCTTTTCTGGGCATTTTAACAAACACATCAACTGCATCAAAGGAGCTAAAAAAAAAAAAAGATCGGAACTTACCAGTAAATGAAGCAGACACACGATCAGCTGGTACACGGAGAAATGTATGTGTTAATTTACCAAATTCTTAAATTTAAATATCAAAACTCAGTACACTATGTGGCCATGTGGGGTAGTTTTCGAGATATCGTCGATAATTACTTCGGTGACTGTGGGACTTGGGAGGACGGTGCACCGTAATCGACTTTTGGAGAAACAAAAGGTATAATAATGCAAGAAATGTTGTTGTACGTTAAATATAAACAGAACAAATAAGAAAAATGGGAAAATAATGTCATTGGTGGAATTTGGATTCATGAGATATTATGGATTTTCCTCTTTTGGACTTTGCTTTTGATATATTTTTTTTTTTAAGATACTCAAGATTTTATTCTCGAAGTCGGTCTTGGGCCCTTGTAGTTAGCTCCCTGAGCTACTTCGAGAGTGCCGGGTATGTCCCGGTGTCAGCCGTAGCGCTCTCTCCTTATATTTTAGGATCCTAGAAGGTCTAACGCCATAGAAGTGATTACGGGTATGTCCTCTCTCCTCCGAAGGAGAAATAGCTGACGAGGGTTCTCTCCCTGGATTTGATCCCCTACGCAGAGCAGCCGGGCTCATCAAGGATGGTCGTGCTACTAGCAAGCATTACTTTTGATGTGTTTAAAATATAACAAATATGACATTGTCACGAGCTGGCCACGTCCGAATCGACTAGTGGTCAACGGCCTTGAACCGAACCTGTGGTTAGACAAGGCCGGTTACAGGCCACATTTGTTATTTTTGAATCGTCGTGTCGGTCCTGAATTGAAACCGAAACCGACGGTTCCACATTTTTTATTTTTTTATTAATTTTAAAATTTATTTATTTTTTTAAGTAAACCTTGCCGATTGAAATTACTGGTTCAGGATCCTCCAATCCTAGACCCAAAATCGACAGGTCCGATCCGAAATCAGTCCAAGACCAGGAAATGGTCGTGTCTAATTCCATCTATTCATCATCCTCTTTAATTAAAAATACATAACTCTAATATTAATCAGACATATTTATGTTTATATTATTTTTTGATGTATTATATTTTCTTAATGTAAATATACATATTTGTGGAAACATATATCCATGATACTCATTAAATAACTCGGGCCAGAATCTCTGTTAAGCTTGTTTAACAGGTCTTGCCCCTTTTCTCACGGATAAGTTATGCACTGCGACCTTGAGGTTTAGTCCAAACATCTCTTCATACGACCACGCGAACACATCCTTAAACTCACTAAGGAGCTCGATGTAAATCTTCTTTTCATCTACAATTAACAGGCACTAATGTATGTCGGGCGAGGATCATCAGCATCACCCAAGTTGATTTCTTTTAAGTTGTCGAATGTAAACTAAACACCTTCTTCAAGTGGAGGTGCGTCATCAGCATCTTCCCCTTCTGTCAGAGTATCTTCTCTTATAGTGATATGGTTCACAGGAGTAATATCTTTGGTTTGCTCAATAGGTGTTTCGAAGTCGATATGTGTTCCCACCCGTCCATTTCTCCGTGTGACAAGTCGTGCCTGCACATCTTCGTCGACTCTAGTGATATATCCTTTCTTTACCAAACAAGCTATATTATGGTAAAATGAACTATCATCATCTCGAGGAGTGATAAGAGTATTGCAAGCATAGTAAGACTAAGTGACACTTTCTCTATCTGCATGTTCATCGTCCTGCACTCATGTATGAACAATCGTGTGCATTTTTGCTTTTAAAACCTTTCCATTTCATACGTGACAGAATCCGACTTTGAAGCTTTAGAGCCAGCCCCATGTCTCTTCCTTGACCTAAAGGCTTTGATGGTTTCGAGGACCCAAGTCGCTGAAACACAGATTGGTTGCCTTTTGACTTCTTGACTAAACCGAGTCATTGAAATATAGACACTCTTTAAAATTTCTTTCTACCGTTACTGGATAAGAACTCTCCCTCCGAGATACGGTTGGTGTTTGCTCTTGTAATGGCGATTTTAATTAGAATCGGTTCCACAAATCTAAAACTTTTCTTGTTGTGCTTCTGCGCGAGGTATGAGATTTCACAAGGCATGACTTTCTTTGGTGTTTTATCCTGCTTTGATGAGAAGTTTGTAGCCTTTTATATCAAAGCACTTCAAGCTTTCCAGACCTTCACCATGCTATATCACGACTCATTTGCTTGGACGAACAAACTTTACGAGTTTTTGGGAAATAGGTTATACGTTATTTAACATCGACCATGGTAACACTATATATTTTAGAGAGTTGTATACCTTCGCATTCTACTGTTATTCACTTTCGGATCCATTTGGTGCTTAGAAAGGACTTTCTTAACTGATTTTGCATATTTGAAATAGTATTTGGCATCACCAAATGAGTTTTGGCCTTCGTAAAGTTTTATCATCACCAAGCATTATCTTCATTATGACATTTTTGAAATATTTAAAGCATTGATTCCATGTGGACAGAACTACGCCATTCTCATGAAGCCATCGGCGCCCAAAAAGCATGTTGTGAGAAGTCTTTGCGTCGATAACATGGAATACTGCGGTTGATTCCATATCTTCCATCAATAACCTCAATTTTATGATGCCAAGAGCTCTTTGCCCCCCTTTGGTTAAAGCTATGAATTATCAGTCGGCTATTACAAAGTTCATGGTAGTCATTCTTTATTCTACTAGTGTTCTAAGAGTCAAGATGTGAACCGTTGACCCCCCATCAATCAATATTTGATTAACCTTTTGCACACAGCTAACCACGAAAAAGGGTATGTTGTGAGGATTCCAACCAAACAGTAGAATTTCATTAGTAATTGTTGCCAAAATTGTGATTTTCAACCTCGGGTAAATTGTTTTCTTCTAGTACAACATCATGCTCATTTGTCATGTTGCATGTTTAACTTGTATGATTAGCAGCTGCACTAATTTCTTCTTCCAGTGAGATTTTTTTCTTGGCGTGTCAGCTGCATAACCTTGTCCTTGAATATGAAATATTCATGAATTGGACAAGACGACGTTATTTGCAATTTTGGATCGTTCACCCTGTCGGCTCCTTCAGGACGCTTTATCTCAGGACACTCAATGAACATTACTTCTATCAAATCATCAAATATGCCAGAGACATCTGAATAAAGAAACGAGTATTGCTTTACTTGGATTTCCTTCAGTCAACTTTTTCTGCACAATTTTATTGCGCACATCCTTCTTTTCAACGACTTTATCAACAACTTTTTCTTTTAACTTGACAGGCATAACATTGATCGTCATGGAATCCTTATTGGAGATTTTGAGGAAAACTTGTCCTCTTTTCTTTGTTTGTATCTATCCATGGAAGTTTGGGGTTTTTGGATCGGTGGCTCATTTATCTCTACTTGCAGCAATGCTCATTCCATGTCGTAGGCTCGAGTAGCTAGCTCCTTAATTATTTTCAACTGAATCCTTTGATGAATGTAACGAAGACAAATTCTTTGAAGAATGTAACGAAGATCCAATTCATACCTTGAATGTACATCTCGATGGCAGAAGTCTCAGATAGACAATCCTTGTTATTCAGACTCAAGTTCCTACACCTATTTATATAGCCAATGATTGGCTCCTCATTTTTATTGTCGATATATAGTGAGCTCGATCATGCTGGTTGTACATCTTGTGCTATAAAAGCGACTAAGAAATTCGTGTTCTATTTGCTCCCAACTATCAATGGAGTTTGCTTCCAAATTGGTGCAGGAATGCAACCCTTTTGGGTGAAGAACAAACTACTTGATGAGATAATCGTCATGGGTTCCCGCATTGTTGCATTTCTTAATAAAGTGGGTTATATGTTGCTTTGGGTTGCCCTTGCCATCAAACTTGAAACATAGAAGGCTTACATCCAACACACATCCTCAAGTTATCGACCCTTGGTGTATATGGTTTGACGTTGCTCATGACATGGAACCACCATCAAACTTATGTTTAATTGTCCCCATAATGAAATCCTTGAGTTAATCAATTGAGATTATTCAATTAGACAAAAGTTGGAATGTTGGAGTCGTCTCTCTTTATAATCACTCTCGTTTGGATGTTTCAACCTCATCACGATTTTCAGCTTGTTTTACCGTCATGTGGCTTTTTTCAGCATTGTCAACTTTGTCCATTAACTTCAAGACCTAAGCCTTGCTTTTGAAACTTCTTCGCGAGCCCTTTATTAACCTTTGTTAAGCTTGCGACATGCTCTCTAAGAGTTGAAGCATTGGTTCTCATAACTAAAGTGATGCTTGAATTTGATTAGAAGCTTGATGATGAATGAGGAGTTGAGGAAGCGGAGTCATCTTCATCACGTTCATGGGTTAGATGCAACTTATCACGTTTGATTCACCTTGTGTAAATTAACCGTCTTTGAAGATGTTTGCAGCTTCTTGGCCATGCTTCTTGTAACGAGACCGATGTTGAAGCTTGAGGAACTTGTTGTAGAAATCTCAACTAAGGCGATTTTGCGGCTAGTCATGATGGTTTGAAGAATTTTGGAGAATACATTAGAGGTAGAGATGTCCCACTGGGTGTGCCATAAATTTGTAACAACAAATTTCGTGTATGAAATTTATAAACAAGAAAAATATTTTGCAATTAGTTTTCTGCATCAAATGAACTTTGTAGATTACAATCTCTCTTTTATCCTCAGATTATTCTCACGAATGATTTT